TATATATATGTATGTATATATATTTGTATATTTATACCTATAAATGTATAGTTATATATTCATACTAACACACATACACACTCACAGACACACACACACACACACACAAGGGCTAACCTCTTTTGTTCTTTTCAATTATCCTCTGCGGAATAGATTGCCTCAAGGGGAGATAGTAAACACAAGCAGTATATATCTTCAATGTATATTATCATATATATTTACAATACATATAAAACATGAACACAAGAAAACCACTGTTCCCAGGAGTAATGAGACCCATCGTAAGTGCGTTAGTGAATCCGGGCCCTGGATGGATGGCACTTACGATGGTAAAATCACTGGTAACTATAGTTACCATGGTAACCAGACAGCGTTGGTATTCAATTTGCCATCGAGTTAGCATGGTAAATTTTACCAGTGGTCAGAGCACTGGTAACTTCTGGGAAGACATCTCATCACGTGTTATCTCGTAAAAAATCAATATCTAATCAAAGTTTTGGGTTTGTTTTTACACCTGATGTAACTAATATGATGGCAAACACATATCACAATACGGACATAGTAAAGAAATGTAAATTTCACATGAAACTAGCAAGAATAAAATCCACACAAATTTTCGTAAAATTGTAGGACTATATTATACTAGAATGCATGGAATCGATAGATAAGTGAACACTTATAGAATTCTTCTCTTGACATAATCATTACAAATGATATAGAAAAACTACCATGTTGATATATAAACTGGCAATACCAACGCTAGACGAGTATTGCAATTTCTGTTCTGTCGGCATTTTGACAATAAACTCCAAAGTGCAAGGCAAGAATAAGTTTGAAATATTTCCTTTGACGACAGATGACGATTACTAAAATTTGTTTAACAATGATGAAAAATGAATAAACAAATAAACAGTTTGGACTATTATTATAATAATATCATTCTTATAATATTTATTAATAATATATCAATAAGTGTTTGTATTGGTTCCTATCTATACAGTAAATATATATCCCACATGATGGATATGATCAAATAAATATATTTTTTTTTCTACATGTGCTTAGTGTTTCAGCTATGAAGATTTTTAAAAAATCTCGCTGTGTATAGTTCTGTTTACATGTTACGTGATTGGCCGAAGGAACCTAAAAGATTATGTATGGCGCTCGCTGATTGGTGGAATTGCTTTACTAGAGCCCTCTGTTGGCTACCATTAGAATGAGTCAATTTACGATTGTAACTCAGCATATCCAAATTACAATTTTTTCGTGAATACCACTTAACCATCACTGGTAAATGCAATGGTAAATGACTGCTGGTAAATAAGTTACGGTCGTATGTTAGTGAATCCGGTAATAGACGATGTAATCAGCCCGGGGTAATGAGACCCAGGGTTAATACTCGGCAATGCGGTCCGGGTAATACTGGTTCCGTGCAAGGCAGACCCAGTCAGATTCTTCCACATTAAATAAAAAGGAGGCTGCAAAAACAGAACCGTTTGGGTAATAATTTTACGCTATATATATATATATATATATATATATATATATATATATATATATATATATATATATATATATATATATATATATATATATATATATATATATATATACATAATCACTTCCATTTCAAACGTCACTTCACTGTACTTCACTTCTTCACTTAGATAATGATGAAGTGTTTTACACAATATTTACAATAAACCAAAGTACAAGTTTTCACTTGTACTTACAATGTGTCTCAGTGTGGAGTTCGGAGCCAAGCAGCTGACCATATGATGGCGACCACCGACCATGGCTCTTCAGGTTCGAAGCAATAAAAATTGGGTCGTCTCGATAAACCAAGTGGTTCGCTTACGAACACAAGCACGAACACTCTCACAGTTCACGCAACAGTTATTCAAAATTATATATAATCAAGTGAAACCATCACCAAACCCTGCACACACACACACACACACACACACATATATGTATGTATGTGTGATATATATGTACATATATATACACATATATGTATATATATATTTATAAATATACATGTACATATATACGTATATGTACACACACACACACACACACACACACACACACACATACACATACATATATAATATATATATATATATTATATATATATATATATATATATTATATATATATATATATATATATATATATATATATATATATATATATATATATATATATATATATGTATATATGTATATATATACATATATACATACATATATATATATATATATATATATATATATATATATATATATATTATATATATATATATATATATATTATATATATATATATGTATGTATACTCGGACACACAAGCACACACACACACACAGACACACACACACATGCATATATATTATATAAATATACACATGCATATATGTATATATATATTCATATGTATATACATATATACATATATATTAATATATATACGTACATGTATATATACATACATGTAC